CCAAGTTGCAAGTAACAGTATGTTCTTTTCCTCTTTCCTAGGTTATTTTCATTATTGAGGTAGAAACCCATTAGATTGTAGAGCCTTCCCGTTTTGGCTCTGAGGTCCACATTTCCTCTCCTTTTCAGGGGGCAATTGTGGGAAGAATAGTCTTTCGTCCCAATGACGTCTGTCTCAATTAGCCACAAACAGATCTTCAGCGTTAAAATATCTCCCAGCAGCTTCCAGCTGCAATTTATAATGGATTCCTCTTTTGTTTAGGAACAAGTATAGAAATTGATTTTGTTTGTTTCTTTATTTAACTGTACTTTTGACCTAGCCCAGTCCTGGAGGCCTTGGGCATCATAAAACCACAAATGAAGGCCAAAACAAAAAGAAACCACAGTATAACAAAAACACCACGAGAAAGCAAAAGCAAACTCAAGATAAGCTACCCACAACCATTCAACTGGGACTAAAGACTTGTTAGAATTGAGCTTTTGGGTTATTTCAAAAACATCTGCAAAGTAGGGCTGAAAAATTCTGTACGGAGGGTATTTCCACCAAGAATGCCTGATCCATACCTGCTTTACCTCACAAAATGAGGGTGGGGGGGGGTCAGATCCTCTCTAGAAGAGCAGACTGGATGAGTACATTTGGCCGGAGAGCTGTTGCCTGATGTTTGTGAAAACAGCAACAGCGAGAAACAAAAATAAAGGAAGAAAAGTTGACGCGAACAGAAGATAAACAAACCCAGAAAATCCAGGCAATTTCACTCGTTGTTGATAAAGGCCTGGGGGAAGTCAAGTCTTTAAGGCCCTTCAAAGCACCAGCAGGGTGGGAGCCATCTGGATCTCAGGGAGAGCTTCATTCCAATGAGCAAGTTATACGTTAAGAGAATGGGCATTTCTGGCATCCCGATAGAGGGTTTTATTCAATCAAAGGAACTCAGAGAGTGCCAACCCTGCCAGATTAAATCAGGCAGGTTGATACTATGAGAGATATGTGGTTCCTTAGATAATTGGGCCCTGTGCCATGTAAGACTTTAAAGCAGTGGTTCTCAACATGGGGCCCAGGCCCCACAGGGGGGGGGGCAATTTGATTTTTAATGGGGGGGGGCAATTTGAACCTTGTTTGAACCAAGTTAATGACCTTTTACGCTTCCTCACGCAAGTAGAGTTCACTTTTTGAGAAAAGTAAGAATTATATGTCACAGGGGAGCATCAGGATTTTAGCAATAGCAATAGCAGTTAGACTTATATACCGCTTCATAGGGCTTTCAGCCTTTTCTAAGCGGTTTACAGAGTCAGCATATCGCNTTCAGTAGATTTGACGAACCGGTTCTACCGAATAAGTGCGAACTGGTAGGAATCCATCTTTGCCTTCAGGGACCTACAAAGCAGTGGTGAAATCTAATTTTTTTCTTTTTTTGCCACCGGTTCTGTGGACGTGACTTGCTGACAGGGTCGTGTGACTGGGTGGGCGTGGCCAACTTTTCCCCACTTTTTAAAGCATTTTTTTCTTGCCGGTTTGGCTGAATAGGCAGGAAGAAAATGCTTTTTAAAATGTTGGGGGGGGGGGAAGCTTCCGAGGATTGCGCGGATCAGCTGTGAGCTGTGCGATCATCAAAAGCTTCCCCTCCCCGCTTTTTAAAGCATTTTTTTTCCTGCCTATTTGCCCACAACGGACAATAAAAAATACTTTAAAAAGCAGGGGAAAAACTTCTGATGATCATGCAGCTCTCAGCTGAGCTGTGCGATCCTCAGGAGCTTTTTTTTTTTACTAGCGGTTCGCAGAACCAACGACAATCACCTCTATCGGTTCGGCTGAACCGGGAGGATTTCACCCCTGCTACGAAGAACCCAGTGCCATGCCATGTAGTACTGGTATATACTGTAGGTATAGTATAAAATGATGAAAGCAAATAACAAGAAACAAAACAGGAGAGTAAATTCAGTTGCAATCAAAATTAAAGTCAGTATCATTTATCTCACTTGATATTGCTTTAATTTTCATTGGCCATTGTTTCAATAATGTGCTTATGTGTCCCCCAGGAATACCTTCTGGTCACATATTAAACACCAGGAGGGGGAGATAATATAAACCTTCACTGGGAGACCTCTTTTCTCAAATATTTCCCAGTAATAGGTATGTACTACAGGCTGCTTCCAGTAAAGCTGGATTTCATGACATACCACGATAGTCTGTCTACCACAATCAAGACCTTATTGCCTTTTTTAACAAGAGCTTCTCCCTTCAGTTCGGCTATAGGAAAAAATAGGAAGATAATCAGGGGTGGGCTTCTGGCGGTTTGGGGGACCTCTAGCTAAGATTCTGTGCAGTTCAGAGAACCCCCAAATCCCATTCCTGGTCCCACCCACCCCTCCCCTCCCAGGAGTCTCCACGTGGCCCGTTTTGGATGCAGGTAAATGCAGGGTGCATATGGAGGCTCGGGGAGGGTGAAAAACGGGCCTACTGGAAATTCAGGAAGGCCAGAAACAGCCTCCAGAGCCTGGGGAGGCTGTTTTCTCCCTCCAGGAGGCTCAAAGCAATAGCAGTAGACTTAGCAGTAGACTTATATACCGCTTCATAGGCCTTTCAGGCCTCTCTAAGCGGTTTACAGAGAGTCAGTATATTGCCCCCAACAATCTGGGTCCTC